TATACCATGTGTTGCTTCAAGAAAAAATCTGTATTAGGCATTAAAAACTAGTAGGCCATGAGAGACATAGAGAACAAATCTGTAACAGGTATGAATCACTAGAAAACCCTCTGAGGCATCACGAAGAAGTCTGTAACAAGTATACATCACTAGAAAACTTTAGTAGATACCATGGACAAATCTGTAGCTAGTATGTTTTTCTAGTAAATCATTAGAGACATCAAAATCAAATCTCTAACATATAAAAACTCTATAAAACCATAAGAGGCTTAAGTCAAGTACAAGTCTTTTACTTGTATAAGATTCTAGCCGAGCAAAAGAGGCATCGAGAACAAACAAGTACCAAGTTTAAATTAATAGGTACCATGTGAGGCATCCAGAACATATCTGTTATATGTATAAAACACTTGTAAACCATGTGATGGATTAAGAACAAATATGTAAAATGTACACAACACTATCAATCCATAAGATCATCAAAAACAAACAATTAATTGGTTTGAAACACTACAAAACTCTGTGAAGCATCGAAAACAAGTCTGTAACAAGCATGCTACACTATTGAACCACGTAAGGCGTCAAGAAATCAGATGTAACAGATAAAAATTACAAATAAAATCTGTGAGGCAACAAAAACAAATCTGTGATAGTTATGAAAAACAATAAACCATGGTATTCATCAAGGGCAATCTTTAACAGGTATAAATCAATAACAAAAACCCTCTGAGGTATCAAGAATAAGTTTGTAACAAGTATAAAACACTAGAAAACTATATGACGCGTCAAGATTAAAGCTATATCTGCCTTTTTAATAAATCCTTGGCAATACATGTGAGGCTTTTTAACTAAACCGTGAAAGGTAAAAAAACTAGTTAACAATGTGGTGCTTCAAAAAAACCTGTAATAGGCATAAAAAACTAGTAAGCCAGGAGATACGTCAAAGAAAAATGTTAAACAGGTATAAATCACTAGAAAACCTTCTGGGGCATCACAAAAAAGTCTGTAACGAGTTTAGACCACTGAAAAAAGACGAATCGAAATTAAAAATGCACCTGATTCCAAATCCAGTAATACTAAACGTGAGGCTTTTTAACTAGACTTCAAGTACTAAAAACACTAGTAAACCACGTGGTGCTTCAAAAAAAATCTGTATTAGGCATAAAAAATTAATAAAACTTGAGATACATCAAAAACAAAACTGTCACAGGTATAAATCAACAGAAGACCCACTGAGGCACCACGAATAAGATTGTAACAGGTTTAAATCACTAGAAAAACTATGAAAGATATCAAGGACACAGCTGTAACTTGTATGATTTTCTAGTATACTACCAGAATCATCGAAACCAATTCTGTAGTTAATAAAAAACACTATAACCATGATATGCACTAGCCAAAACAAATATGTTACATGTATAAGTTTCTAGCATCACGAAAAAGTCTGATACTGAAAAAAAATTGAAACAATTAAGACATCGAGATAAAAACAGTATCAGTTAGTGAACACCAGTAAACACTGCGAAGCAAAAAGAATAAATCTGTATGAGCTATAATACACTAGTAAGTCTGTAACAAGTATAAAACACAAGTAAACGACAAAAGGCATAAAGATCAAGTCTGTAATAGGAAAAAAAAAACATTTTAAAACTTTATGAGTAATCTGCAACTAATACAAATCGTGTTTTAAAAATTCGTAAGCCAATTCAGGTATTAAGAACAAATCTGCAACCGGCATGAAACTCTAGTAAGCTATGTGAGTCATCAAGCAGAAACCTGTAACAGGTTTAAACCACTAGAATCAAATTGTAACAGATAAAATCAAGAGTCAGCCATGTGATGCTTCAGGATCAAATACATAACTCGTATAGAACACAAATATATATCTAAGAATGTTCAAGAACTAATTTCTTTTTGGCATGAAAAATTTGCGAATCTTGTTGGACATCGAGATCAAGTCTCCAATTGCTATAAATTTCTACTAAACCAATTGAGGCATCAAGAACAAAACTATACCTTGTGCAAAACACTACTTAACCTTATGAGGCATCAAGTAAGTCGTTAACTAGCTTAAAACAATACTGAATCACAAAAGACATAAAGAACAAACCTGAAATGGTTATAAAAACTAATAAACTAATCGAAGCATAAGCATCATAAACAAATTTTTAATTGTTAAAAATTACTGGTAACTATAGAATGCATCAAAAACAAGTCTGTTTTTGATATGAAAAACATATGGACCTTGTGAGATATCACATCTGTAAATAATTTAACACTTTAATAAACCATGGGAGGCGACAAGAACAAATCTGCAATTGGTATGAAACACTGTAAGCCATGTGAGGCATCAATAACAAATCTGTAATTGGATTAAAACAATATAAAAAAGTAGTAAATCATAGAGGCATCAGGAACAAGTCTTTCATTGGTATAAAACACTAGTCAACCCGTGGAGGCATCAAAAATCGGTCTGTAACTGGTGTAAACACTAGTAAACCACAAAAAGCAAGTCTGTAATTGGAACAAAATTTTATTAAACTATGACACAATAATGGACTTTGTGAGGTATCGAGAACAAATTTGTAACTAGTGTAGAACTTTAATAAATCATGTGAGTCTTCAAGAACATATCTGTACTTGGAAAGAAACACTGTAAACCATGTGAGGCATCAAAAATAACCTCAAATTTGATTAAGAGAGTATAAAAACGTAGTAAACCTCATGAGGCAATGTGAACAGTCTTTTTTTGGTATAAAACCCTAGTAAACGACAAAAGGCATAGAGATTAGGTCTGTACTTGGAATAAAATTTTATTAAATTATAAGAGTCATCTAGGACAAACTCAAATCTGGTTTAAAAACTAGTAAATCATATGAGGCAATAAAAACAACTCTGTAACAGGTTTAAAAGAAATTAAACCAAGAGAGGCGTCAAGAACGAGACTGTAATTGGAATAAAACAATGGTAAATTATGTGAGGCGTCAAGAACAAATAAGAACAAATCTGTACCTGGTATAAACTACTACCAAATCAAATGAGGTTTTGATCAAATCTGTAATTGTGGTATGAAATTCTAATGAACCAGGTACGGCATCATGAAGAAATCTGTAGCTGGTAAAAAACAAGGGTAAACCAAAAGAGGCATTAAGAGTAAGTCTGCTTTTGGTATAGATGTGAAATAATATTAACTTGTATGACTCATCAAGGTTAAATATTGAATCTGTATCTGGTGTTTAAAAAAATCAAGTAAGCTATGTGAGGCAATATTAACATATCTGTAAGTGATAAAAACATTTTTAAACCGTGTAGGGCTTCAGGAAAAAACGTGCATCTGGTATGAAACACTGTAAATGATGTGAGACAGCAAGAACGAACCTGTAGTTATTATCAGGACTAGCAAACTATGTGAAACATCGTAAACAATTCTATGAATGGTATTAAACGCAACAAGAATTGGTTCGTCGTGCAGAAATTTCAGCATAAAACTGTTGAAATAGTTTTTTCAAACCCTACGAACAAAGAGTGGGGTTCGGTAAAGTGCGATAGAACAAGTTGTAGTTTTGTAATACTACACGGACCGAGGACCATTGACTAAATTGCTTACTTAAAACAACCCAATTCTAAATTAAAGCGTGCCTTTTAAATGAAAACTTAACTCACTAAATCAGACTTTGAATGATTTATTCTCAATAGGACTTTGATATCATGTTTTGAAAACATGCTACTTTTTATATACTTGTCCAATTTTTCTCTTTTTTTCATGCTCATAATTTCATAAGGGCGGTGATTCTTAACACTTCCCTTTTATACATAACATAACACAATGTGGGTTAATATTTAATAGTCTTGCCGGCTGCCCAGTTTTTCTCCTTGCTTTGATTAAACAGAGATGCACCTGAAATATGATGCATCGGAAGAAATACTTTCAATTTTTAATAAGATTGAACTGAAGGCTGAGTTTTTATTCAAAAGCGACTAAAAAATAAAAAATATTTGATTCGAAAAAATCAACTAAATTCTAGTTGAAAAATCCCATATGATGAAGGGAGATTAAAGGAGCAGGTGAAACCTGAGTGCTTTGATAGATGAATTAGCCACCGGTTTAGGCTTACAAGCAAAAGGACTGGCCTGAAAACTTCAGTATTTCGTTTTGCTCAGTTGGCAGCAAGTTTATAAATTTAGTTTTTTGAAGAAAAAGAACAGAATTCAGTTTTGTTTCATAACTACGATAAAAAAGCAAATAATCAATAACGACACAAATCAGAGCCTGAAGATCACCGGACAAATCTTCACAAGACGGCTCAGAAGAACGGACCCACCGAAGATTGACTCGATAATTTTACCCCATCATCAACCTTAGTAAGAAGATAAAATATAAAAAAGAAAATAGGACTTAAGACTCCGTCAACCATAGGTATATTTCTTTAAGCTGTTCAATTCCTTTATATAATCTAATAACCCTGTACTTTATATTCATCAAGCTCAAAAATTCACACTCTTTTCTTACTATTTTTTCTACTATAACTTTTGTCAAGAAACTTGACGTCTTATGTGAGATTTATAACTTAAGATAGATTAATCAGCAATCAACCAGCAATGAACGCTCAGTAAAATGTGGTCACTCAACGGGTTTCAACTGAGAATGAAATTTTCGAGTTGGCTGACCTAAAAAAAGATGACAAGAGTTTTCAAAAAGCCAAACGTACCCAACCCTTTCTTTCTTGCTCTACCTCGACTAAGAAAACCACTATCTTGCCATAAATTCAATATAAAAACATATGAAGGGTTCAAAACAACCAATAGCAGATTTAGTGCGGATGCCCTCACGTCAGAAATATAAAACAAATTTACCCCCTTCTGGGACTGACGCCTGAGACGCCTGTAGAAATCTTTGAAAAAGTCAGCTATATTTCGGCGCTGTAAAAAGTATAAGAAGTGGCAATTATGTTTCCTTTAAACCTAAGCATATTAAAAATTGAACTTTGTGTTAGGTCGTTTCCATAAGTTTTAATTAAATAAATAAATACTTCAGGAATAAAACTTGATTTCGTTTTCTGGTGTTGTAAAACTTGACGATGATGCTGCTATCGGCGCTGGTTGTATTGGAAGCTCTGGCGGTATTGATGATACTGATAATGGTAATAATGATGATGACAATGATAATGATGTACTTGCGCTAGCAACGTTTCCAGAGTTGGGACCGTAGACATTTCTGAAGTGGTTTTCCGGATGTTCTATTTCGGCCAAATTAAAGTGAAGTTCACTTGAATTTGTCTCTGTGTTTTCAGTTTTGTTAACTCCATGTGACTTCAAATGTCTCGTCATTGTACACTTTTGTTTGCTAGCATACGAACAAAAAGTACACTTGAAAGGCCTTAGATCTGAGTGGCAATTCATCTTATGAATTTTAACTTTATAAGCACCTTTTCCGTGATAATTACAATACTCGCATTTCACAAGGCGTTTTTCGAGGGGTTTTGTTCGGCTGTTGAAATTTTTCGTTGCAGCTGAGTTCTTATTGGTTGCACTAGTTGCAGGATTTCGTAACGTTGGTATGGGGTAATTCGACTTGTTACCCACATTTGAAGTTAAAATTTCCAACATATTGATACATTTTTGAGGATCTGAGTTTTGAATATTTGTAGGCAAGTTGTTTGGCTCGTTAGAAGTCCTCATTACAAAATCATTCGATGAGTTCGATTCGTTCGGGCTCATTTTCATGAGGCGCGGGGAAGGATCTAAGAAAACGTTCGGTAGCATTTGTTTCGGCAACATTTGAGTTGTTATTGAAGGAGTGTTTTGCACGTCAGCAAAGCCTTTAAAACAACATTCAAGTTAAATGAATAATCTGCATTAAATTTAGGACTTATACACCAAGGTTTTATGTTTAATGGGACAAAAACGCAAAACAGAGGTTATTGTTGGTCTTTTTTTTCTCCAAATAGGCCAAAAATTTTTATCGTTTGGAACATTTTGAAAGGTTTTGATTTTTAAAATGTGTTTTATTCACGCGCGGTTCCTTCTCGCAACGTTATCATTGTTGCACCTGCTTCCTTCAAAAGTTATAAAGTTGATCAGACAAACATGGCTGTCGTAAAATAGTATTAAAGGTGGTTCCTGTGAGAACTGAAGGAGCAAACCGAAACCCCCCCCCCCTACCCTGGTTCCATCTAAATAAAACCCAACTTACCATCAAGTTTGGTAGAAAGAGTAAAATGCGCAACTTTGGGTTCTTCTCTGCTGTTGCGTTTAATCACACTAACTTTACTCGAAGACTGAACGCGGGTGTGTAAACTATCGTTACCGGCACTTCGTTTGCAGTTATTGGGCGACGTAGTCCGCTCTTCTTTTATCTCTGCATGGTCATCGCAGCATAACCTTCTCTTCAAACTTTCATCATCTCTCCAAAAAATTTGTGCTACCCTTCCGTCAATTACGGTTGTTCCGTCACTTTCGGGTTTTCCTTTAAATTTGGCCGTTCCGCCAACTTTGGTTGTTCCGATAACTTCGTTGGTTCCGACAACTTCCGTGGTTCCGACAACTTCGGTGGTTCCGACAACTTCGGTTGTTTCGCTAACTTCTGTTGTTCCGTCAACTTTGGACGTTCCGTCAACTTTAATCGTTTCGTCAATTTCGGGTTTTCCGTTGAATTCAGCCGTTCGGTCAACTTCGGCTGTTCCGCTAGTTTCTGTTATTTTGTTAATTTTGGTTGTTCCGTTAGCCTCTGAGTTTTTGACTGATCCTGCATGCTCATTGTTTTCGCTCTCAAAACTTTCGCAGCATTTACTAGTCAGATCAATGAGTGATTTTCCTGACTGAGTTGACTTTTGGCCGAAGAAATTTTCATTGATGTCTGTCGAGACATCCAACGAGAATTTGATCGAACCAAAACAACGCGCTAAACCTCGGCTCACTAGAAACATTTCCGCAGGAAAGTTATCGGAATCGTTAATTACAGAACAACTTTTTGAATCCACGGAACTCTTAGTAATCAATTGTTCCAAAAAACTCGGATCCAGCGACATGGAAATATTAAAAAGGCCAGACTTTGCTGGCTCGTTTAATGCAAACATTTCACTCTCAAAAATATAAACTCTTCGCTTTTGCAAAACAAAATACCTGCTCGAAGATAAAAATACAAAGAAGACTGACAGTTGAAGATGTTTTGGAGCAAAAAGTAATGCCGTTTGCAAAGTTCTGTTTACTCGCATCTTGTTAAGTAGCTTCATGCGCGCATACCATTACCAAAACAACAAACTTTAGCCAAAAAGGAGTCCCCCTCATGAAACTATCATCAAACTATCAGTATCAGATAGTAAATGCTAGTATATAATACGCTTGTGTTGTGTACTTGTTGTATGAACTTTCATACAAATGACAATATGTTTACTACGGACGCAAGCTGATCAAGTTATGCATTAAAAAACTAATACCATACTACAGGTACACAAGAAAAACTTATTCAAAATGCATGGATGTTTAGATTCATTTCTATTCAAAAACCTCAAAAATATTTGGGAGAACTTCTTTTATTGAAAAATTTGCAGAGAAGATAACAAAATTATGACAATTTCTATCTAAGTAGCTTTGAATATAGTTAGAGTTTTAACAAGGGAAGCAAAAAATAGTTTTTCGGCGCTTCGGTAATTAAAGTTTTTCACCGAGTTACAACACATGAGTAGACGCTTAAATCAACGAGCAAATAAACGGAATTGTTTTTCTCCACGTTTTTTTTTCATTTTCTCTGCAACTAATTAATCTATAGGATTAAAAATTTATCGCATGCAAGATGATATTATTTGAAAGGACTTAGTCAGGTTGAGAAATCATACTTTGAAGGCGTGGAATAGCCAGTATACGCGAAGTAAGTTCAAAGTTGTTCTTGATGTGGAAACATCCTCGCAAACAACACAAGAAACTTAAATTCATAGGCTCAAACTGATTCTTGGGGAGACTGATTTGGCTTACTCTTTATACCGCCGAAAAACGACAGACACAATAACTGAAAGCTAACTCGGTCAGCCGTCAAAAAAATTATTAAATACATAAAAATCACTCATTGAATTTCTCTGTCTGTCGTTTCTCCAGGGTATAATTCGTAAGATAAGCTCATAAGTCTCCCAAAGAACCACTTTGAGCCCATGATGTCATGTTTCATGTTTAATTCATGTGTAATGTTTTGGTAAGTGCAAATTTCTTGCCTCATTTCAATTTTGTTTGATTTAATGTGTCGCTTTGTTTTAAAAACAATTTTGTTTTATTTCATTGAATTTTTAAATGTTATTACTGCTCCATAAACCTTAAAAGGCAATAGCAACTTTCAGGGCTTCGCCCTGATGCGAGCAGTTTTGTTGTTTTAGGTAAATCTTTTTTCAAATGTGATTTTTGGTGACAATGTTCCAATTGGTTTTAAAAACTTACGCAGTATGTTTTTACCATCTGAAACAAATATCAAAACGTTTCGACCGCTTCTACCAATTTAACGTATGGTGCTACTTTCTCAATAAAAAAAATTGTGTTTGACTACTCGACACAAACGAGATATGTTCCGACCATCTCAATCACATTCTAGCATACTTTGAATTTCAATAACAAACAAGACTGCTCGTATCAGCTCGAAGCCCTGAATGTTTTGACTGCTTTTTTATGATTTATGGAGCATCAATAACAAAAAAAATTAAATGTATTAAAAAATGCTTTTTTTCTAAAATCTTAGATTTTTATTTGTAAAAATCATCCCCCCACACGCCATATAAAGTACAAAAGGATAGATTTCGCTGATTGTAGCAAATCAATTATGGCAAATAAGCTTCTTTAGATCAATTTGGAACGATTTCTAGGACGGATTAAAACTCCGCTTACGCGTTCATAATGCGAAAAATATCGCGCTTTAATTGTCCCAAATTGGCCGAAATGGCAATCTTTAAACCCCCATATTTTCACGAAAAATGATCACAGGTAAAACATCTTTTCAAATTTGAGCTCAGGACAACAGTTTGAATGATATTAATTGAAATTGGTCTGAAGAAAAACCCACTCCGAGCAGAAATATTCCGTTACTTTTGTTAAAAAAATAAATGTAATAAAAAAATGAGATGTTGAAAACTATTAATGTTGAAAACATCTTAATGTTGAAAACTAATAAGAAATAAAAAATTGTTCTCTCTGCTTTTGAGTTAAGTCTCTGGGTAATTTTCTACCGACAAAAAATTTTTCAAAATAAAAAGTAATTATATTAGTTTGTAGAAATGAACTTATTTTGGAATCGTGTTGTCTCTCTTACGAATATTCTGTGCTTCATTTTGCGCCAAATTTTGATCTTTGTAAATTATAGGTTTTCTGTAATTTTCTCTGTCCAACTGCTAAACAATTTCGCTCAAGGAATGTATTGGCTGTACTTGAGGTGTATTTTCACGTTCGACGTAGTTTTTATCCTACTTGAGGTATTCTTGGACCTTCCTCGATAAAACATCGATATATTTGAGGTATATCGACCGTGCTTGAGGTATATTTCGAGCTTTTGCTTGACTCAAATTCTTGTTTCAACTATTAATTTTTGGTCAAGTTCTGACATTTGTTTCGAATTCAAAAATTGCGATACAAATTGAGCACATCGAGCGGAAATCATGAAACTTCTCATTATAGAGTTGAAGAGTTTCAGCCACCTAATTGAAACAAACTGCAAACAAGCAATCTTTTTCTCTTTTGCTGCCCTTTTTCTCCCAAAGTACTTGGCCATCTTCAATATTTTCTAGATAACGGCGACATAAGAGTTACACAATGCAATCATTAACCAAAAGTTGATGGTTTTTGGTTCAATCAAAAGAAAATTGATTTTTTTTTCAAAAATGACAATTCTTTTGCTTAAGTTGAAAAGTGACATTTTTAAGTTCTCTATCTGAGCTGTTCGACTGATTTCTTGGCGTAATCTTCAATTGATATCAAAGTGGATGGTCAAAAATTCTCGTCTTTGCTCAAATAGGCTCGCTTTGCTTGATTTTCACGTACACTGTTAGTTTTTGCTTAACTTTTTTTCTACAAACCAACCTGAGTTCATGAAAAAAGAAATCATAGTCCTTCTTTTTCAAGAACACTTTCATAAATGTCACTTGTATACAATAATTCTTAATGTAGTTTTATTTTCCTGGAAAAAACTTACAATATTGCATTGACTTCCAAGCAACTTAGAAACAACAAAAAAAACACTTTTTCAACCTTTTTTGAAATACTGTTTCTACCATTGGAACCATAAGACTTCAATATTTTTAAAAACCCAAAATTTACTAACTGTTTTAAAACATGAGTAGAATGTTGCTCAAAGAAAAATTTCACGGAAGGAGTTATTTTTCGCTGATTAGTTCGATCGAGAACAGAAATAAGTTTTCTGAAGAATTAGTATAAAGGCAAACTAGCTGTGCTGAAGATATGGCTTCATCCTGATTCTCTAATTATTGACTTGACCGATGTAACCGTGTTTGTATTATAATTAGACACTGTTTAAATTTTGGTTCGATCCTGTATGACTCAACTCAGGATTCTAATTATCTCACGACTCACGATTGCACTTCGTCTAAGAATTGAATTATAATATCCAATTCATACAGCTGGCTCAATTTTAGACTGGAACTTGTGAAATTTCGCTTTGGCTGTGTCATACTGCTACTGCAATAGCAGTAATTGCTTGATGTAATAATAACCTTCAGTGGTATCAGTTATTATTATTACGATATGTCCAAGGTCAACAGTGCACTGACATTGGTACACAGCTAAGAGCTCAGAGTTTGAATCTGCAGTATCGCTCTCAGTGACTAAAATTAGACAACAAGAAAATATTTAATTCAAGCAACAAAGAAAATATTCTTGAATTATTACCAACAAGATACCGTATAGGATATCACATGGCGCAGCCAGCAAGATTCGCAGCTCAAGATAATCGTATTGGTATGGGAATACCCGTATTTTGGGCGTCAGCAAATTTAGACCCACCGTGGCAATTTTAAATCTGGTTCGAGCAATTTCTATTTACAGTAACTGTAAAAGAAAATGTAAACCAAGAAGTTATGTTGGTATAACCAAAAGACAAATTAAAAGAACCACCTCCACGACCAGAAAAGCCACGAGAGGGAGAGAATGAAGCTGCGATGACACCCAGAAATCTTAGAGATAAGCTAGCAAGAGATCGAGTAATGCTGGAAAATGCGGACAGAAGAACACGTGTCCCAAGGGTTGACCACAATGTTTTTTATAATGAGGTACAAAAGAAGCTTGCATCCAGATTATTCCTCTCTCTGGGAACAGAAGGAAAGCAAAGATTTTTACAGAAAAATCCACACGCCAAAAATTCCAAAAGGTCGTTCTGGGATATTACGGAGCTAGCAGCGGTCTCGTTTCAAAAGGTAAAGTGCGTCATCTATGAAAGATATAAATTGTTCACACGAATGCAAGAACCGGACATCAAACGAGCAAAACCGGAAAAATCGCTAAAACAAACTGCTATCGCAGTTGATCAGAACAACGAACAATCAATATCCACTCTGGATACCTCAAACAAAGACGTTCAATCGAGCTCCACTCTAAAAACCAAACAAAAGGCTAAACAAAAGAAGATAGACTCAGAAACCCGACGAGGAAATCCTCGACACGTTTCAATACCGAAACCTGGCTTCTGCTGAGTGGGAGAATTTTGCAGACCAACTTCTCAAATTCATTTTCCACTTGAGGGTGTATGTACTACTGCTACTGCAATAGCAGTAATTGCTTGATGTAATAACAACCTTCAGTGGTATCAATTGTTTTTACTATGACGTGTCCAAAGTCACGAGTGCACTGACATTGGTACACAGCTAAGAGCTCAGAGTTTGAATCTGCAGTATCGCTCTCAGTGATTAAAATTAGACAACAAGAATATATTTAATTCAAGCAACAAAGAAAACTCTTTTGAATTATTAGTAGTTTTCCAACAAGATACCGTATAGGATATCACATGGCGCAGCCAGCAAGATTCGCAGCTCAAGATAATCGTATTAGTATGGGAATACCCGTATTTTGGGCGTCAGCAAATTTAAACCCACCGTGGGAATTTTCAATCTGGTTCGAACAATTTCTAATTACAGTAACTGTAAAAGAAAATGTAAACCAAGAAGTTATGTTGGTATAACCAAAAGACAAATTAAAAGAACCACCTCCACGACCAGAAAAGCCACGAGAGGGAGAGAATGAAGCTGCGATGACACCCAGAAATCTTAGAGATAAGCTAGCAAGAAA